AACATTTATTCTAAGGTGAACATTGAGGGGAAATGTGAATGAGGATGCTGCTGGACTAGGATTTAAAACCATCATTTTAAAACAATAAGTTCAGTAAAAACAGGAAATAAACTAAAGTTCATTAGAAATGAACTTTAATTCTGTTGAGTGATAACTGAGAGGAAAAGGATGAAACAAGGAGAAAATAAAAACAACTGAAATGTTTTTATTCCTTTTAGGCTCCAACATTCTGAATCATTTTAATGAGACACTGCAAAAGATGAGACTTTATTAGCAGCTGCATCATGGTGACAGAAAGGATTTTATTATCCCAGGCCTTAGAGAAGCTATATATATATCTATATATATATATATATATATAATATGCTGTTTATTCTTCTAAAGCTCAAAGTTCTCCCTCCAGCTCTGATGTTCGAACTAAACTACGCTGCAGTGCTGAGGCATCAATCTACTGCCCTGCTTAAAGCTGCAGGTCGACCTCCCCAAGATGGCGGCCGTAATGTCTGTGCTGCAGCAGTCAGTGCGGGGTCTGCTCTGATATCACTGCCTGTTATCAGAGTCTCTCCAGATAAACTGGACCTCAGCAGATCTGAGGCTCCATAGAGCAGAAACACAGAGACTGGCTCCGCATGTTCTAACCAGCATAGATCTATGAGCTGCCATCCAAACGTGACATGAGGGGAGAAACAGACCAACCTGCTGGCTTCACCTGAGGAGCCTCCATGCTCCTCCATGCTCCTCCTCCTCCTCCTGCTCCTCCTCCTGCTTTCAGCTGAAGTCTTAAAGTTTCTGACTTTGAAACGGATCAAAAGCTTCTGATGATCAGGAGTCACTGAGGCAGGCGGCTCTGCGTCAAAGGAACACAAACCGGAAGTTCCGCCCACACAGGGCGCTGATTGGAAGTCCGCCATATTGGTCAGGGATGGATGTGTCAGGTAAACATTACGGGAACCTGAGGGCTTTGTGGTTTAAAAGAAAACACCTTAGAAAAACAGCTAAAGGGTTTATTCTATTGATCTTATAGAAACAAAGTTCATATTTTCTGATTTTATCGTCCACTTCCAGTGATGGGAGTAACGGCGTTGAAAGTAACGTTACTAACGCCGTTATCTTTTTT